GATGCCTACCGCAAATCATAAACTTGATTGGAAGTGATCTGCTGCATGCCGACAGAGAAATTTGAGAGGGGGGTTAAATGGTATCGGGATGTATTACAATAAGGCTTTAAGTAACGATCGTTTTTCGAAAATTACATTATTTATTATAAATGTAGCTGCCATCAGCTTATTTGACACAACGACTTATCTTAAAATCTTTTTCCATTTAAAACAGTACTTAAGAAAACTGGACGAAAATCAAGCCTAAATGGTAATATAAATTTACTATCAACTGGTCAAAATGCTTATTTAGCACCACGCCTTATCTCAAGATCTTTATCCCCCTCTTCAGAGCCAATCAGAGCGCCTGCTGAAAACTGTCCCTTCTATATAGATTCGACACCAAAACGATTCATTAACTAGACAATTATAATAATTTAGATTCTTTTAATAGATTACACGACATGATAAATCAGCATTTAAATATGATGCAGCCTTAATTTTTCTTAAAATAATCAATAAGTTAATTTTTATTTATATCCGAATACAAAATCCTTAATGTTATTATACCTGGAAAATTGTTATTAAGTAAGGATGAAATTCAAATATTTAAAAATTCATAACTGTAAACGCAAAGAAGGCGTGCAAGATATTCAAACCTTTTTTTCATACATCACAATTAATTATGATAATTATTTGATCAAACTAATTCTAATAATCGGGACTATGTTATTTAATGATTTTATTACATAATTATGACATTTTGAATTATTAATTTATTAAACTATATTTTTTTTCATAGGTCTCTTGCGTTTGGTCCAAATCTAGTGAATTTATTTGTAAGTTGGGCTCGAATTATGAAGAAAATGCTCATAAATTAAATGATAAAGATAAGTAACTCATAAAATAGTATTTTGAAATTCAAAGTAAAATTAATAATAGAAAATAAGTTAAATATCTAAGCTCCGGATTTCAACGGTTCCCGTTTCCTAGTGAATATATGATGGTGTTTCAATATGCAAATAAGGGGAGTCTTCGTAAGCTCCTATCGTTAAATTATAGAGAACTTAATTGAAAAACTAAATTAAAGCAACTTCTAGACATACTAAGAAATCTAATAAAAGTTCATGAAGCAGGATATGTTCATGGTGACTTACATAGCGGTAATATATTGCAAGATCAATATATTAGTGGAGATTTAGGGTGTTCTCAAGCGCCTAAATCAATTGATCGGAAATAAAATTTTAAATAGTCTGGGCCAAAAAAATTGATTCAGTGAGTTGCCGCTTCACTGAAAAAAGTCTGGAGGCGCAAACCATCTTTTTTTTTCATAGAGTTAACGCTGATTGGCCAAAACTGCTAA